CAAGCTGATAAGCGTTCCAGAGTACAATGCCGTTGTAGGAAATTCTAGGTCATGGTATGCGAGATAACTCCTGTATTAATATGCGCTTTCCTCCTTCATAGATTTTACTCTATCGTTCGATCAAGGTAACCTTTTCAGCTAGATAAGCCCCATCTCTCGATTCTGCCAGAAGTCTTGAACGGGCACTGCCCAATAGGAACCCATGAGAAACAATTTACTTAGTATCGATTCGGATCCCTATTGCGATAGCTGCTCGGAGAATGATGAGTTGGAAATGTCTCGTCTGCCCTGTTTTTATAAGATCCCGATGTAAACATCCAATATTGAACTTCATCGACACTCCGGAGAAATTCTCGCGAGTGGTAGTCATAAGATGACTTTGGACTTCACTTCGAGTACTCAGGGATTTTCCTACCAATAAACTAACCTAAAGCTACCAACATCAAAGAAGAGCGCTTAAGACGTGCCAGGGTTTATTGTAGCACATTCACACGTTTTACCATTTAGAGCGCTTATAAAATTTGCAGTAGAATTTCTATATATCTTTGAAGTTTTGAAATTTCCCCCCTGACCATTTATATAATCTGGTGCCGGAAATTGTAAGTATGCAACCGTAAGATATATTTTTAGCATTCTTTCGAACGAACTCTTGCCTAATAAAGGAGTAAATGGCAAACACACTAAGCATAACAAACCTTTTAAAAAACATTCGCTTAACTAACTATTTATGCAACACCAACATTGAAAGCACGCACGGTCGAAAGCTTTACTGATAATATCTAAGTAATACATTTCTAAAGTTCCTTAAAAACGATGTTAATTATTACGGATTATTAATTTAATGCCTTGGATACTAGGAAGGATAATTTTTAGTTTCTTTGAAGGACACATTTTTATATAATTTTAGGTCGATGACATTTTGCTTTAATACGCTATTACACATAGAAACATGTACATACATGTCTATCAAAAGGGTCATCGAAAAAAGATTTCACAGTAGTTAAGTTTGTATCTGCTATTTTTAACCAAATTGAAGCTTGCGTGACGATATTGATTTTTGCTTGGAAAACTCGAAACCACTTTAAATTAATTAGAACAGTTATGGCGAACTTATAGATATTAACATATACGTGCATACATACGTAGATATGAACCTTAGAGTCTATAGAGAAATGTAAGAAATTGCTTAAACTATTTTGATTTCACTTTCATTAGCTTAATTTAATTTCAAGCGAACATGTGCACCACTGGATTTTATGGCTACACACATGCAAACATACATATACATATGTACATATATGAAGCCCAAAATACAATACACCCATCCACGCACACTCACCCAACCCACACAAACGTCGTTGGTCTTCGTTTGTTTTTTTTTTTGTATTCGTTGGCGTTGTCGGCACGAAATCAATTTCTTGCCTCGTTGGACTCTCAAGTGCCTCAATGGCCATTAAAGCATAAAAGAGAAGATGTAACACAATTTAACGACCGTCGACCAACGACCGACAACAACAGCAGCAACAACCAAATCCGTTAACAACTACATGGACATGCTGTTATGTATATAAAAAGTTTAAGAACCCTCAAAGTTGTTTATGCTTCCGCTTGCTTGCGCGATTTTTCCAAACTGTCTTCAAAGCACCTCCGCCAGCCACGTCGTTCAACGCTCTTGGATTCTAACTATGTCTCCTTAGTTTTTGTTTTTGTTCGTTTAGAAATTGGCACAACTGCGAGTAAATTCTTGTTTGAGGATTTTTTTGCCTTAGTTTAACTTATTATGATTGTAAGTATGCAGGTATGAGGCAAATTCGCTTGTCAAGATAACCGCAGTAAAAGCGTACAGTGGCTGTAAAAGTTTATAAATAGTGTACTAACATTGTGTTTGAAAAGTTTAAAAATAAACGCTAAAAGTATTTAAAAGCAGTGATACATAGGGACGTACATATCTAAAAGATGCCAAGAAGAAACCTGCAAATCGTTTCTAGATTCTGGATTCTTTATTATCAGATGCAGCAAAAGTACGATCAGGTCCACCGTAAGGTCTCTCTTCAACGCAACAAAGCACGATAACCGGATGGACCTTTCATTTTGTGAGCTATTTTAGCCGGCAATATATATTGAGGGCCCAGTTACCCACCGACGTAAAACCGGACACCGTGTCAGCTGACACGACCTACCGCATGACACTGACGTTGCCTTTGCTTCTCTTTCTCTCTCTATCAACAGCAATTTTGTGTGTTAATACGGACGGCAAGTACGGGAGGGCGGCTCCATCGGTGGGTAACAGACGCATAAGTCCAACCAAAAGCGTCACGTTAAACAGTTGCGAAGTTCGGGTTGGGCGGTCGTCGAAGTGGCTGAGAAATTAATACTGTCCGGTTGGAACCACGCTCGATACCTACCGAATAGGTTGCACGTCTGCAAATATTTACACATTTTTCATTTGGGTGTAGCCAAAAAATAAATTTTTCGATTTCGAAATTCTAATAGTGCAGAAAAGTGTGTAACCTCACGTAACGGCCACCTCACTAGCATAAACTTTCTCTTATGACCATTAGCCTATAATAAAAAAACTCATGATTTCAATTGTAAAATGTTTTTTTTTTTATAGTGGGCTAAATAAAAACATTTCGCATAAAAAAAAAAATTTCAGTTAAAAAAATATTTTTTTTTTTCTAAAAGTTTACGTTAATTTTAACTAGAGCGTAATTTTTTCCAAACTTTTTATTAAAAAAAATTTTAGCTTATCACAGTTTTACCCATAAAATACTTTTTTCCAAAACTAGGTACTTTTAAAACATTTTTAATTTTTTTTACTAATGCGTAATTTTTTCAAACTTTTTATTAAAAAAATTTTTAGCTAATCACAGTTTTACCCAAAAAATACTTTTTTCCAAAACTAGGTACTTTTAAAACATTTATTTTTTTTTTTAAGTTGTTTTTCCCAAAAAAATCTTTCCAAATATTGTTTTTTTTCTCAAAGAAATCATTTTTTACCCATAAATAATTTTTTCATAGTTAAGCTTTTATAATTCAGATAAACGTCATTTTCTTAAAAAAAAATTTTATAAAAAATTTGTTAGAAAAAGTTTTTGCCCCAAATATGTTTTCCTAAACATTACTCATTTCCCTTACATTTTGCCCGCAATAAATTATTATCATATTGGCAAAAATATTTTTTCAAGCCAAAAATTTAGCGCAAAAGAAATTTTTTCCCAAAATATGTTTGTTTATAATGCTTGGTAACTGTTTAATTTGAGTAAACATATTTATCTCTTATTTTGTCTTAGATTTTTCCATGCAAAATGAAATAGAACATACTACTTATGGAAAACCTGCGCGACAGTGTCAGCAAAAAACTATAAAAGATCCATTGTATGAGAGATCTATCAAAACTTGAATGCTTTTCGGGCGAACGTAAATATTATCCAACCGGAAACCGGTTTAACACGGTTCAATGTGATCATGTTTATTGTGGTAGTTCTGATGCAAAAATGAAAAAGGAAACGCATAACGTTATCACAGAAGCGATGTACCGCGAATTGTTAGGGTTGTCGATAATTTTTATTAGTAATGTTTTGAGATCAAACGTTCGAAAAATTAAATAATGGAGCCCATACTGCTCTCAAACATTTGTTGCTGAATGTGTAAAATATGTATCTCTTGGGTGCGTCGGATCCTAATTAGACTAATTAGACTACCGCTTATGTACATATTCATACATATATACGGCTACTAAACCAAAACTATATCGCAAACAACTATGTGGCAGATAAATTGCTAGAAAGGATACACGAGTTGGTTCCAACGAGTAGACTACTCTAGGATAGATAGTCTTTTGTCAACTACGCAGGGGCGCTGGGCGTGGTCAAGAACATACATATGCAACATCAACGACTTTCTGTACTCTAGTGAAGCAGAATCGGCAAGGGGAATTTTTTGATTTCGCACAGCGAAAAATCCATCAGCCTGTGTTTGGATTAAATGGAGTAGCTGCGAATACCACAACTAAAGCACTTTGTCGCAGCTGATTGAAGGATAAAGAGAACGATTCGTTTTAGTGATTACTGAACTGCCACTCAATATTAAATTAGCCAATATTTAATGGTTTAGACCATTTTTTTTTTTAACAAAGTACCAGTTCTAAGCTCCTTCATTGGCCAATTTGCGCGCTTTCTCCCTACCTTCTATGGATACAAATGTCCCAGTCCTGAAGGTATTCGTTGCGGTACACGGTGGTTAAAATGCTAAAGCTAAAGTTGCTGCTTGGCTATCAGAATAACTCAGTGCGACATACATACTCAGAACTTCAGATTGGAATATGCTGGCCAACCGCAGGTACTGAGCGATACCAATCCAATCCTTTTACACCGCAGTCAATTTTGCACCCTTGATTGTAGATATGAATGGCTTCGTTATCCAAATTTGGGTTTTCTACATTCCCTTTCGGAATGTTAAAAATTTATGATTTTTGCATGTAGTCCGTGGATTTATTTGCTATATCAGAATATCTCCTATAAATGAAGCTACTTCGAAAGTCCTTGTTCGGAACTGTCTGCGGTTTTTGCAGTAGTTTATCAGCTAGCATTCCAAAGAGAGTAGTACAAAGGTAATAATTCTCATGGTATAAGTGGGTCTCATGGGCCTATCACTTTAACCTAATATACCCGCTACCAATGATGTGTTGCATAATTCCAGGTACCATTTTTGATTTTGAAATAAAATATACAAATGTACATACATATAATAAATAAGAACTGTGTCCCACCTTCCAATTTGTTGGGGAAAGTTGCGCTTCTCAAAAGCCCTGAGTAACCAAAACATAACTAAACATGTAAATTTTCCTAAAGCAAAATTATTATCCAAGCACTCCTTCAAATATGTATATGGATGAAAGACGTACATATGTATGCAAATTTGATTCCGTATTCAATTTGTTAAATTTGCAGAAATTTTCTCATTTACATATTTTCCATATTTTCTTCTGTCTCAAACAGACGCGTTCACATCACCAAGGAGACACTCAAGTGTTTGGATGGCGATTACGAAGTGGAGGAGGGCAAAGGTGCCGAACGAAATACATATCTGAAAGATCATCAAATCGAAACTTATCTCATAGTGCCAGGTGATATTTATCGACCGGTAAGTGTACGAGTATGTGCGTGTGTGTGTGTGTGGGTACGTATGTAATAATAAATAATGCACAAAGTCCACCTGATGCCAGGCACGTGTTGCAAACGCGTGACTGCCCGCCAACATTTGTATGTACATATGTATGTATGTATGTGCAAGCACGTGTATATTCTGTGCATCCAACTGAATTTGCTATATGTAAAATAAATTATTTATGTACATACATACATACATATAAATGAACATATTTATAAGCAAATAAGACGGGTTATGCAAAGTGTCAAAAGCCAATGAAATAAGTGCCTAAAATAGTAGCATAGAAAGCTGAGTGCTGCAATCGTAGTACTAAGACATAAATAATTTTGCCTCAACAAACAAAACGAAAAAAAAAATCCTCTATTTTCATATTCATATTCATATGTACGTGGACACATGTGTGCATTCGTGCGTGCGTGCAGCACAAGAAATCACGCAACCGACTGCAGGTGAATGGCAACATTTCCAAGGAGCTGCGGATGATGGGACACGCTGGCACACAGAAGAATGCCTCCAAGTGAGTAGACGATTTGAAGTGACGGTAAAATGTTTTATTTTTTTATTATATTTCTCAGCTGGTGTGCTTAACCTTTTCTACTTGCTCTATTTGGGTTTTCGTTTCTATTTAACAGTAATTTTTTAATCCTCATATGCTACATACGAGTGATTTTGGTTCTCCATTGTAATTAATGTGCGAATATATTTATTTACAGATTTGGCTTTGGTGACAGCGCGGAAGGTGCTAAAGATCCAGAGGATGAAGTGAATGAGTATTTGATGCGTGCGATAGATGCACGTAGCATTGACCATTTACGTGCGGAGCATTGTCAGTCGGTGTTTTTGTCCTTCAAGGATGATGAGCTGGAGAAAAAGGTGAGTGCGTGACTGAAGTGAAGAGTTTGAAAGGTTCATTGGTTGTAATAATATTTTATATTTTCACTTCAAGCGGGGAAGTAGTAAAATTTGTCTTTTTTTAAATGTTTTCTTTTTTTCTACATTAGTACGGATCGGAGCCAGATCGTATGCTGAGTGTGTATTTCTATTGCAGTTTTATTGTACTAGTCACCACTACCGGTATTAGATTTTCAGCGTTTAAACCGTAAGTTGCTTATATGTATATGAAGTCTACTATTGACGGTCGAAACACTTCTGCATATTTCTGAAATCTCGAATGCTTGTGAATATTATAAACTACAAAATATCCGGCGTACGTCACTTCGCCGTCAAAATATTTGTGTACAATAAATTCAAAACTCTTGGTTAATATTGTTTTGAAAGTATTTATAAAGTAGGCAGATTTTTTAAATTACAAACAAATTTGATTTAAGCTTTTGCGGAAGATAAATTTATAAACGGTCTTAAAATATTGTTTGCGCACACTATCAAAAACAACAAATATTGAATCAATAAACCTCTGAAGAAAGTGCGCGATATGTGGGATGGTCCCAAAAAAAGTAAAGTCGGAATGTTAATGCTCTCACCTCCTAGGATGGTTCTGTATCGAAAAAATATATCCCCGCTTTTTTTTTAAATCAAAAATATTTACAAGGTCACTCAAAAGCGCTTAAAGTGATTCATGTATTTTTTATATATGTATATTAAAAAAAAAAGCAATTTTTCATAGAAATGGTATAGATTTCGTGAAAATCCATATTTTTCGTTCGGAAATATATTATAGTTATATTATATCGTTAATATATCTAAACTTTACTCGAGTTTTCGTATGCACAGACGGACGGACGGACAGATAGTCACGGCTTAATCGATGTCTTTTTTAAGCTGAACATTTATGTATATATTTTTTTGCTATATATATCTCCATTCGTTTTGGCTGTTACAAACTACCGTTATGTGAACTAATTATGATACCCTTTTGCACAAGTGCTCTCGGGTGTAAAAACAGGCATACATTTTTTTGGTAGAGAACAATCCTAGGGGGTGAGAGCACTAAAATCCCGACTAGAATTTTTTACCACTCTAATGTAGAGTCGAGTTATAAAACTATAAATTTAATTTCCAGAAGGAAGTAATTGGTTTACCTGTTTTCTAGATACCTTTAAAACAATATTAACTAAGGCCCAAATTCAGAAACAGTAAAGAAGAATTTAAATGCTTTATATGTAAATCGAAATTTTTTATTAACATTTTTTTTTTATAAAGCTCTTTTAATCCAATAAAGAGCTTTCAAGTTAGAAGGAATAAAAACAGGATATTTGTGTATTTGTTTAAATTTTTATATTTTAAAAATTTTTCTGATATTCGGCTTTTTCACGGGTGGCAACTTTTCAACAAAGATTTTCTAGTAAAACTTTCTGAAACACTTTTCTTCTGGTACCAATCTTGTAAAATTTAATTTTTTTTTTCAATATTTTTAGTTTTTACTATTTAGATAGGTGACAACTTAATTAAAAATGTTTCTGAATCAAAGATTTCTCAAATACACATATTGTAATATTTAGTTTATCTTATCAATTTAATTGAGCTAAATTTTTCAAATACATAGGTTGCATCCCGCCTCAAAAATATTTTCGACAGTAAACTTTCTTAAACCGCTGTAGTTTGCTACCCATCTCGAGTTCAACAAAGCACCCAACTCTATGCACCAACTGTCGGCGCGCCGGTTGGAAATGCCAAGCGAGGGCAAGCCCTTCTCCGCTTGGTCTTCCTTTTGCAATGGGAGCCTCAATCTCCCTCTGCTACCACCAGCGGGTTCCGAGTTGAATATTATCTGAGCTGGAGCGTGGGTGTCCATTCAAACTATTTTAATTCGCTGCAGTGTGTCCAACTTGTAAAAGGCAGAACAAGCTTCGCGGTTTTTGTTACCGATGATGTCAATGTCATCGGCATACGCCAGCAATTTTACGTTCTTGTAAAGTATTGTCCCTGAGCGGATAAGTTCTGCAGCTCTAATTAACCTCACCAACATCAGATTAAAGGAACATCTCATGAAAGAGAGTCACCTTGTCTACAACCCCGTGTGGTGGCAAATGTCGCGGCGAGGTCTTTTCCAATTCTGACGGATTTGGTTTTATTGATCGACCTTATTTTACATAGCCCTTTTCATTTTTGCGGGGATTTCAAATGCAGGCATCGCGGCGTATAGTTAGGCAACTCCATTTGGTGTTATTGAAAGCTGGTTTTGAAGTCGTCGCATGGATGATATGTGTGTCGATCCTTTTCTCGCGGGTTTAATACAAGTTTTGGCCTATGGTGGATTTGCCAGGCCTAAAGCCACACTGATAAGGCCCAATCAGTTCGTTGACGGTGGGCTTCAGTCTTTCGCGTTCAGTTGTAGCGTATGCTTAGAAGGCTAATCGCGCGTTAGCTAGCGTAATTAGTAAAAATGTTTGCTGTTTTATTCGAAAAGCATGCATCAATTTCTATTTTAGTGCTAAATGAAATATGCCATTGCCTATGGCCATACAAACATAAGTACAACTAAAATTTACGACCACATAAATGTTATTACTAATATAATCAATTAAATTTCTTTTACTATATGTTCACTTGCTATTTTCAGGAATTTACTCACCATCACCACTTCATGTGCAACAATTGTTATCGTCATGCTAATTTCACTACTCGTCGCCGCTCATGTGATAAATATGAATGTACGTATACGCCATGGCAGTCCACTGATATTAAAAGTCGTTTTTATTATATTTTCGCTCTCCATTTACCATTTACCATTCACATACATATTCAATTTCAAATGGAGTTTTTTGTTTTAATTCTTTTTGTGTGTGAAAAATTTTTGCGAAAATCGAAATTCATTGGAAATAGCCATTTTATTCAATTTAAGAATATTTTTAACATATGCACCAATTGTTTTTCCATTGACTACATACATACATACGTGTGTACTTACGTATTTACTTAGCTGTACAAGTATGCTGCGCAAATCTGTATTTTACCGTACACATTTCTCTGTTTATATATTTATTTGCAGCTACCGATTGGCATCAAGAGATTCTCTTCACGCATACACAGCAATCGCCTGCTAGCACAGTGCTTTGCTTTTTTAACAGTCACACTGATTGCCTTGACAACCGTGCTGACAATGGTGAGTAGCAAATAAATAAATATGCATTGAATGTTGCATATTATGCATGGCTCTCGTTCAAATGCGTACATATTTGGTTTTTAAGTACACAATGCCGTTGCCAATTTTTTTTTGTGCACAAAGGTATTAAAAGTAGTTATTCATGATTTTTCGTTATTACCTTTCGCATGTTGTTTACATTGATACGATGCTTTTATATCAAGTTGTTATTTATATCGAAGTAAGTTATGTGGTAAATATTTTTGCAGTGCGTACTTAAAACTATTTTACCTCACAGGAATTTGATATATTGACCAAAAATACTTCATATTGAATATTTAAAATATGCATAGACCTCACTCAGCACGGGGAAAGCGCCAAAAAATGCTTATTTCATTTTACTTTTCAGCCACGCATTAGTAAATATTAACTCAGAGAAATATGTCGGGTTTTCTATAGATATGTACATAAATAACCTGACCAAGAATACTTCTTGATTGGTGTAATTGACTCGTACAAGAAAAGTGATTTTTTTCGCAAAGGAAAAGTCAAATAAATCAGTAAAGCTTGCAGAAATCAGAACCTCCGCTAAACTCCACTAAACACAAACAACCAAGAAGGGAATTGTTTTCTTTAAACAGATCCACTGTAATAATCAAAACTAGGAGCGGGAGTTACTGTCGAATTCCATGTGTCTATAGTTTTTTAAGAGCCTTGGGGAGGTTTTCTAGCTTAGCACGTCATTTAACTTATAGTTCCTGCTTTAGAACTGAAGCGCGACTACAATTTTTTATATCTTTGAAGGCCTTCGGAGGACTTTACCAGGCTTTGGAATTGACCCGATACATTCAATTTTTTCGACAAATTTCGATGATTTGATACATATCGATAATTCGATGAATTTGAAAACTACTAAAATCCGAGAGCTCAACACAATTAGATAACTCGAATAAATTCTACAATTGTGCATACAGAAGTTTAATAAATTACGATAATTTATAAATCTCGCTATAAATCGATAACTCGATGAATTTTAGATACCTCTATAAAGTTCGATAATTCGGTGATTTTGATAGCTCAATGTTTTTCAAAAGCTTTCAACAAATTCGATAACTCGTTACACTGTGCTAACACGCTAAAATTCGATAAGCAGTGATAACTCGTTAAACTTATATAACCCTCGATTCGATAAATCGCAAAATTTCAGTAAATCAATAAATATCGATAACTCTATAAGTTAAAAGAGCTCGATGCATTACAATATGTCGATCATTTAAAGGTAATTCAATAAATATCGATAAATTGGTAAATTTCATTAACTTGACAAGTTTCGATGGCCCCATAAACTTTTATAGTTCGATAACTAACGGTAAATTTCGACAGATAAGTTTCTGTGTCTACAAATTTTGACAGCTCAATAAACGTTAATCAATTTGAATAATTCGGATAGCTCAATAAAAATGGATAATTCGATAAATGTCGAGAACTATAAACTTCGATAAATTGATAACTTTCGATAAGTAAATTTTTTATGACTGAATTTCTTACGATTCTTATCGAATAAATTCAATAAGTTTTTTTAACCCTCTCAGTTACTCTAATTGTTATGTATTTCTCATTGTTTCAATTTTGTCTTCACTTTTTTGTCTTACGAAGCTTTCAATGTACATATGTATATGTAGATACTTCCTTAGCAGAAGTTTAATAACTTTGGGTGAGCTTTAATTTACTGACACTAGGGTGGTACGCAAGGGTAGACCGATATATCATGCTTTAAGGTCCAACTTTAAATGCCGAAGAGATGACGAAGAAATAGAGAAAGCCTACCTCCGCGCTCGACAAAATTTTTTTGTTCGAAATTACCTTGAAAAAATACTTTAGACTCAGGGGCACGGCACGGCATGGTCTAATGTACAATAAACATACATTAGCATGTTTGTATGCGTAACTTACGTATAAGCAGATCTTTTAAGCATACATATACATAATCCTACTCAGAAGAGTTTGGTATGATTCGTTAAGCGGATTTATACGCAAAAGAAGTTGCGGGCCTTATCTGCAGCTGAAAGGAAATTATTTTTGTGCTTTTCGGTTAGAGGCCACAAATGACATTTACTTAACGGAAACAATTTCAATACACAAATAACGAAATGTACATATTTATGTATAACGAGTACACATACAGATGCTTTTTTGAATATACACACATACATTTAAATATTTATGCATAAGTGTAATGTACATAAATTTGAAATCGAATCCATATGTATGTACATTAGGGTGGCCCAAAAATGCATGTGAAAAAGTTAAGTCGGAACTTTTTTATGCTCTCACCCCCTAGGATTGTTCTTTACCGAAAAAAATATACATTTATTTGTATTTCTAAATCAAAATCACTTTTCGCAGAAATGATATAGAATGAAAATCAATCTTTTTAGATCGGAACAACTCTGTTTCTCTTCAAGAGATTTTCAATAATAATACCCAATTATTTATTTAACCATTTTTTCATATTAAACTATATTTTAAAGGTCCGCCAATATCCCCAAAAAATGCCAGGAAATGCAATGGTCGGATAAATAAAAATCTTTAGTATTAAAAAATGGTTAAACAAACAATTGAATACTGTTGTTGGAAGTCTCTTGTAGAGAACCATAGTTTTCCGATCGAAAAATATTGATTTTCAAGAATTCCATACCATTTCTACGAAAAGTTGTTTTTTTCCATATAAGATACATACCTCTTAATACTTTTTGAATAATCCTTGGGGGTGAGAGCATTAAAGTTCCGACCTTACTTATTTTGGACCACCCTACTGTGCATATGTACAGTACAACAGAGATTAGTATTTTTATTCATATTTTTCCACATGCGAACACGAAAAGGAAACACAAAAGTTTTGAGATTGTACACTTGTATTTTGCGCAAAGAATTTCAATTCAATTTTTAATGTACCCTGCAACTAATCAAACAGGTTGAAAATTCGCGCAGAGCTAATTTGAAAGTGGTAGGCACCGGTTCTTCATCTATCCCAAATCCATGCTTTCAATTAGTGTTTAATATGGTTGTGTCCTTGGATGTAGCGATTGCACCACCTAAGCAGAACTTATGCACTCCTTCTGAACTGGTCCAATTTTGGAAATATCTGGGACAATGTGTTTTTTATGTTTTTTTCTGAGCAAACATTTTCAAGATTCGATTTTTGGATTTTTGTTTGTTTTTTATTATTTTTGTACAGATTACATTTAATGTTATTTTTATTAAATAATATTAAATAAGTTGTTTTTCAGTTTCTTAATGGCATGCAAAAATTTTAATGTACTAGTTTGGAAAACCCACAACTGCCTCCACTGCGTTAGAACTCGCTGCCATCGAGTTCATTTTTGATAATTAAAAACTTCAAATGAGCAATGAATATTGAAAAAAAAATAGTTTTATGAACAAATATTTAAAGTGTATTTAAATGCGCAATGCTTGCGAAAACGCGGCCATGCTCCATTTTAAGCAACAGCTAATTTCTGAAGCAAAATTATGTATGCAGCTGGTTTCTTTACTTTTCCAGCAGACTCGTATATGTACAAAGAAAAATATGATCTACAGGAACAAGAAGATAGATAGTCTCTACGAAAAGTTTTTAGGCTAAGGCGTAAAACAGACGAAAAAACGAAGAAAATTTCATAGAGATTCCTTATTGATTTTATAAGAAAATTCTTATTTATTTTATTAATAAGAATATATTTTAAAAAATCCTTGAGAAAATCTGCTGGATTGTTTAATTTAAAGAGATACACTTCTTAATTTGATGAAATATTTTCTTGAATTAATTTTAAATTCATATGATTAAATAGAATAGTGGCGGTAAGGCGACCCCCATAGCCGAGCAGGTAGAGCTTTAAGCTGCCATTCGGTAGGCCTTCGGTTCGAGGACAGATGAGGGTAGACTTGTTGTTTTCTTTGTTAGCTTTTAATTAGGTAATTTAATAAAAAATAGACAGAATTGTCCCTGGATTTCATTGAAAAGTGAATAAGTGTTTTTTTTTTCTTGGCGAAACCCTATAGAGATATCTTCTTAATTTTGTCCTAGCGAAATAAAGAATTTCGGCGCAATTTCGGAATGGGAAAGCGGTAAGTTGTTCGATTATTCGGATTTTTTCCAAAACTGGCTTTCAAGTTATTCGAAAAATAACAATTTGGAAAAAACCGGTTCCCTATTTTTAAATTCAGAAAAAATCGTAGATGCTTTCCATTTCCAGACAACCGGTCAGGTACGAGCATGATTTTTAATTTCGACCAAACTCAAATACATTGTTTGTTGGTCCAAATAATGAGACACGTATTTTTTCTTTTGGCTCGGAAAAATTTTTCGGCCGAATTAAACG